AGGGTTAAACACTGGTCGAAGAACATTTCATTAAAATCTCTATGTCTTCGGAAAGCTATTATCTACACTTTTTCATCTTTTTTTAATGTATAAATTATATTTTATAATAATAATGGGAAATTTTTCATATATGATATCAAAATTAAATGAAGAAGTAAAGAATAATTATACTCTTGTTTGTCAGTTGTTTCGTTTGGTTCCACATATTTTCCCAGATTTTATTATTTTCTTCATCACTAGACCTTTCCAGAATTTTCAATATACGTTTCTGGGAAAAAATGGCTTTTTAGATTAATTTGCAAACATTGTTGTCTTCAAAAACCTGTAAAAGAAGAGCATATAAAAAGTTATTAAAGGAGCATATCTTTTATATCCTCTTTCTGGTTCATAATTTAAAAACAAATATTTCTAAAATTGAAATATAGAACATGACCATGATTCCATGAATATAGAACATTGGAGCATTTTCAAAACTTTCCAACGCATTAATCTCTCCAAATGGTTTCAGATTGAAAAAATGCCTAGGGAATAGTTATCCAAAATCTCAACAACAGTTGTCCTTTTACCAAGTGTTAACTTAAATTTGTTTGAAACAATGTGAGGCTTGTAATTTGATAGAATTACATGATTACTTATTGTATATAACTTCCCTTCTTTTAGTGTAGCTCCAAACATTGGTATTTCATCCTTTTGATAGATTGCAAGGATGTGGTTCCCCTAAATTTTTTTTTTAAAATAATTAATACTATATTTTAGAAAAGTGGCTAGCCACACAAGTCTTGAAGAAAAATATCTCATTATCGTGAAAAATACACTCATGTGCATAAACTTCTCCAACATTCTTGTAGGACATTAGATCGTAGGAACAAATTTATCTTAATTTTAGATTGGCTCAAAGGTAGACGATTTTAAATCCATCAACCACGTCCAAAGAGGGCAGGCATTTTTGAAAACTACTCCCTCCGTCCTGAAATGTTCTTCCCACTTACTATTCATACGGTCAAACTTTAATCACTTTCTTTACCTATTTTCATTAAGTACTACGATCAAATAAAATAATATAGTCTTGTCACCACTAGTTTTGTAGAACTTTTGATGTAGTTTTTTAATATATAAATTGTATTTTTTAATTTTACACCTACAATCAAATAAATTGAATTAAAAATAAAGTCAGTCAAACTTCGTAAACAGAACCGGGAAGAACATTATAGGACGGAGGGAGTATAAGGCTAATTCTTATTAAATCAGTGTTGTGTAAGAATTTAGGGTAATCTAATATAAAAGTGGAAGGGTGTGTAGTGTGTTAGATTGGAATTTAGGGAGTATTTAATTTTTACACTTACAATCAAATAAATTGATTTAAAATAAAATCAATCAAACCTAATAAACAAAATCGAAAAGAAGGTTTTAAGATGGAAAAAGTATTTTCTATCTAAAGAAGGTATCATAACACTTAGAAAATCTAAGAATTAGAGCCCATTTCAATTAAGGACAAATTGAAATATTAGACATTCACTGTTAATTTTTAATAACAAAAAAAGTAAAAGTAAATCTAAAAATTACATTACAATATAAAGAAATTAAGAACCGTCCTGCACGGTACCATTTCTAATGCTTTTTTTTGAATTTTTTTTGTTGACCCTTGCTTTAATGCTTTGTTTTTGCATATTACCTTTGAGATCAACAAATTGAGAGGAAACTATTACCTTTGAGATTTGGTAAGAAGAAATCGATACGGCTGCCGACGATCGCAGGAGACGCTTCTTCTTTGGTCTGCGATGCACGAGCAACACGGTGACGGAAGGACAGAGTTGAGCGCTAGATCGTCTGACTTGGGAAATCGAAGAACGAAAAAGAAAAAAAACTAACGAAAGTGATAAACGGAAAAGGAAGAAAATGGCGGAAGGGGTGATGGTGAGTTTAACGCAAGTGGTGGGGCATTTGTAATTTCAAGAAAATAAAATGAGGTGGACAATTTTACTTAATTCTCATGACTATTAATACACATGGCATCCATTGACAGGAGGGGCATGGATGCCCTCTTGTTTCACCGGGCACTGAAGAAATTACCTAAAAAAATATATTAAAATGCCAAAAAAGTCTAATAAAAGGTCAGAGATATGGACGTTGTGAAGCGAGGTTCGAAGAAAGACAAAACTAAAGCCACATTCAAAAGTTCAAGTTCACGTGGTTCTAAAGACATATTATCTCAAACTTTTCTATTATCCCTCATCAATTCGTGGGCGATGCAATAACGGATTAAGAATTTAAACAATATTTGGGAGGTAGGACGCCATTATTCAAACTCTTAAAGATATATATATATATATATTCGTGCACATTGATAAAACAAAAGAGAACGTGGAGAATCGTAATTTAGCTAATATAAAATTGAAAAAATAAATTTGACAATTTTTTCTCACTTTTAATTTTCGTTTTACTATTTATTCTGATATTCGAAGTGAAACATATCATAATTTGTATTATATAATGTTTCTTATCTTAACATAGATAGTGATAGAATTATATATAATAGTCTTTCTGTATTTCGTGATTTCAATAAATCTCATAGCGTAGTTGACATACTCCACAGAGTGCCTCGCTCTTAATTGTTTTTCTAGACCATCACACCACTTAATTTTCATTTTTATATCGGTCCCAAAATAATTACAAATTTTAAAAACTTAGTCATTTTTTTATCTTTTGAAAAATAATAAACAAATTAATGAAATTTAAATTTTTTTTACCTTTTCCAGACTTTCAAAAAGTCTCGGGCTCACGTGCCTCCTCGTCGGCATTAAGATCGTTGCTCTAGGGTGTGGGCTTCACATTCTCTTCTGCTTCATCCACGTGCTCAAATATATATCTTCAAGAATTTGAATATTAGCGCCCTACCTCTCAAATATTATTTAAATTTTTGGTCTATTATAGACCGACCCACGAATTGATAAGGAATAGTAGCAAAAGAAGACATTCCTTTAGAACTACATGAGCACGAACATTCAAAAGTGACTTTCTATAGGACTCTTGGTTACTTTTCCTCAAACCTTGGTTTACAACGCCCCTATATACCAATTTTCTACCAAACTCTTTCAACATTTTAATATATTTTAATATTGATAAAAAATTAAATATATAAGATATTTATAATATTAATTATATAATATATTAGAATTTCAAAATTATAATATTGATTTGTAATAAAATAATATATTTTCAAAAAACATGTATGCTAAAAATTGAGCCTATTTTTTGGGTGGATATAAAGAATTAAATGGAGCTTTTGATTAATTTGACGCAAATGGCTTAAAACTTTGTTAAAAGCCACATGAGTCTCAACGTCCCTTATTCATAAAGAGATATCTTATGGACAAGCAACAATCGAGCCGTCAAGGGAGAAATGACGACTGAAACGATAGCTCAACCTCAAATCGATCATTCTTTGCCTCTTAAGAATCACACAATATGATACAGTGACAAGAAATTTAATTTCAACCATAATCCCTCATCACTATTATGAGGCACAATTTGGTAAGTAATAAACAAAAGATAGAACACAAAAAGTCAATCAAAATCTTTATCATCAGAACAATGCCATTTTCACCCACAAGCAATCAGCTGTGTCCAATGGTGCCTAAGATTAAAAATTTCGTCATCACTTTATCAATCAAAAGCTTTGTCACAGATTCAGTAGCAAACTGGTTTTGCATCAGTACTCAGTCCAAGTGTTGGAAATGCTATTTTTTGCTTCATCCTCATCATAAATTACAAGAAAAATAAAATTAAACAGAAAAGACAGAAAATTTTAACATAAATATCCAAGAAAAATCAGACTAAATTTCTGAAATAATTTTCAAACAAATAATTAATGCACGGATTCAAACAAATAGATCACTCAGTTCAGCGGGGTAATCGACAGGCAAACTCCTTCAACCCATTACCAGGAAGAAGAAGCCTCGTTCCGGTCTGTTGAGCTTGAATATTGCAAGTCATCACTGTGATCTCATGGTTTCAGCACATTTGGAAGTAAGAATTGCTAAAATCAACCAAATCTAAGCCGGTTGGAGATCAAGTTCCATAAAATCGATTGAAAACCTAGAAGATCGGATGAATTTCAAAATCAGAAGAAATTGAAAGGAAGAAGAAAAACAGAGATTGCTCAGCGGTGGCGATAGTGATAATGGTTCGATTCGGCCAGCGAATTTCCTCAACATCAATCAGAAGAGGGAGCTTAGAGATCCTCATCGCAATCAATCTTCAAAACAGACATAAATTTCAAAAAAAATCAAAAACACAGAGTAAATATGTAGATCGCTCAGGGATGAAGATTGAATCGACATGCAAAAGCTCTCAAATCGGAGAAGCTCCTGCGATCCGGTCTGTTGAGCTTGATCTTTCAGAGTCCTCACAGCGATCCTCAACGCAAAAACGGTAAAATCTTACAAAAAAACACAAAAATTAAAAACAAAAAATTGTTTTGAAATCATGTTAACGAAGAAGTGGGAGCGATTATAAAGAACAAAGATATGCAGATGGGCTGTTTATATAAAGAATTCGGGGGAAGGGTTAGGGCTTTTGGAGGAGATGAAGATGGGAAAACGAAATTGCGAATTGTATCTCAACTATAGGTTAATTGGAGTTGTTGCCCAGCATTTCATATGGAGTTCCACTTTGACCGTCAAATATATAGCCTTTGTTGAAAATTTAATTATTACTCCATATGTCATATTATCAAAAAATATGAATTTAAAAGTAAAAATTAGCAAAAAGAAATGTCATAAATTATTCGTAAAAATAATTTTATTAAATATTTCTTCTAAATAAATTTAAAATATTTGTTTTCTAATTATAGGGGTCAATTGTTCTAGATTCGGTTGATTTATCCACTTTTAACTTCAATCAGTCAAAATTAGCAAAAAAATAAAATAAATCAAAAGAAATATTAAATATTGATAAAAAAATAATTTTATTGGATTAATTTATTAAAAAAAATATAATAATATTATATCTGATTAATATACAATAAATATATTCTATTTAATTATAGATAAAAAATTGAAAATAGTTAACTACAAGAAGTCGAAACTAGACAGATTTTGAAATTAGACAGATTTTGAGACGATATATAAACTAATGATCAACATTGAAGTTGATGAAAATATAAATAATAATGCTAAGAATAAAAACTGTCCTTCTATTAACATCACATGTAAACTTTTTTTTATGATTTATCAAACACTACTAACAAAGATTTTGGAATTTAGAGTTATTAAAATCTGTACATCTTTTATTAGGTAAAAAATTTATATCTCTTGCTATCACCAAATATGGTGTTTGGTCACCACCCATTATGGAATACTCCTAAATGTAAGTCAAAAGAGAATCTTTATACCAAATATTAATATTTTTTATTATTTTTGGGATAATTTCAGAAACAAAATTAAATAGTATTTCCTGACCATTCAGGAATCCAATTTTAAAAAATATTGTAGCATGGTGTACATTTATTATTACTCAATTGAGTACTAAGCCGCACACAAAAAATAAAAAAAAATAGAGTACGCACGATAGTATCAACAATAATTAATAATTTATTTTTTTTAAAAAAAAGAATTGTTTTATTTGTATATGGAGTGCCAGGCCGGTCCAATTCAATTCATTTACCCGGAAAGATCAACCTCAATGTTGGCTTGGAAAGCCGCCTCACAAACCGGGCACCGGTTCGCAAACCCCTCGCAGCGTTTACACAGGCAGAGGTGGCGGCACGGCCACAGCATCACCGTCGCGATCCGCCGGGCGCAAAGCCGGCAAGTCAACCTAACCGGGCGCCCCGACTGCTCCGGGTCAACCGAGGACGACGACTGTGCATCTTCTTGGTCCTCCACCACCTGCGCCTGATGATGCTGTCTGACCAACAGCATCACCTCCTCCCCGCCTCCTCCGCCAGAGCGGAGAGACGCGGTGGCCTGGTGCAGCACCGCCCGGAGGGAAGTGTTGGTCTGCTCCAGGGTCTTGATTCTGTGCCCCATGTTCATGGCTTGGTTTCTGTAGTTAGAAAGAAGTCTTTCTAACTCAGAGTTTCTAGCCATAACCGGGCCCATCATTTCGTCGTGCTTCTCCTTCATCTTCTTCGCCGCCCTCTCCTCTGCCATGGCGTGCTCCATCGCGTGCTGCTGCATGCACATCTCCTCCATCATCTCTCTCACCCGTTTGCTCTGCGTAAAATTCGTTTAATTTTGTTTAAAATAAGTATCTAACAGTATAATTTAACGACTCCTAGTGGACTTCAGAGAAAGTGTACATACGCTAAACCTTAACTAAGAAAAATCAAATGAAGAGAAAATTTCTACGTAGAAAATGAATAACGAATGACGTACATAACAAGTGACAGCATGTTTGATAACACGATGGGTACACTCCTCCTCGGCCGCCGGCTCATTGCTGCCGTCTCCGGTGAGCAACAAGGAAGTGAAAGACTGTATAGGCCTAGACAAGGCGCCCAAGTCTCCTCCGCCTACCCCCGCCTGCTGCCGCCCAGTCTCGACGCTGCTCAGCCGAAGAGCGGTGTCGAAATGGGACACCAAGTGCGGCGGGTGCCTGGCAGCAGACGACGACGCTCCCGCCCCAGCCGCTGATTCCAGAGGAAACAGACTCAGCGGCGCCGCAGGCGGAGCGGATGCAAACCGCGGCGGTGGGGGCGGGAGATGGTCCGCCGCCACCTCCTTCATCTTCCTCTTCCGGTTATTGGCATGGGCGTAGACATTGAGAAAGTCTTTGCTCATTTTTTTTCTTCTCGCCGAGAAGAAGACGGAAGTCAACGGAGAAAAGGTTTGACTGTGAGTAAAAAAAACGTACGGTGTGGCCCGGTTATATATATGCGGAGTAGAAAGATGAACGGTGGCGATCCCGCCCGCCGGGAGAGACGCAAATGTACGGATCGAAACCGTTCGATTGAGAGGGTGGCGGGAACTCTCGCCCGCCGTTTTGTCTTGGCAAACTTTTGAAACATGGAAACTAAGGTGGCATTTTCAAATTTTGGTTAAATTATAAATTAAATTTAAAAACAATGTATCTAGATTAGATACAACATAAAAATTATTCAGTATTATATTAAATCTTATACTAGTATGTTTTTTAGTTTTTTTTTTAAAAATAAGAGTGCTAATACACTATATAGTGCAACGTAACAATTTAAAGTTTACTTTTTTTTTCTGGAAAAAATGAATTTGACATTGTGTCTTAGTGTTTCACGTTGTATTTTTTGACATCGTAAATTTTATTTTGGCATAAAATATCAAAAGTCTTATACTCCGAATTAATATATGAAATGTATTTTACTTTTAGTTAAGGATTTCTCTCAATATATTACTTTTATAACACTTCTATTTTCAATCACTTATTCAACAACGATACCACCTCGATTTAGAGTCGCTTGGTCAGTTTTGGTGATATGATAAAATATGAGTTCTGAAATCTGTAAAATTTGAGATAGATTTTGAAAACTAAATATTCTTATTGATGTTTGTTGAGCAATTAAGATAGCAAATACAAGTGATGGATAATGTTTTATTATAGACGTATTATATAAGCTAGAGTATAATTTATTTAAAATGACAAATTAAAATGTTTTAGATTCTTGTTAATGGAATTTTATCTTTTATTTTGTTAGGTTGGGTCATTATATTGCTTCATTCTAGTTGTTGGATGCATGCATGCTTGAAGTCCCCTGCACTAGCTTTCATCGCTTGACAAAAAGCATTTGTTCCTACCTCTTCTTCCATGTTGGCTCTTGCTACTAAAGTATTCCCCATCTTCATTCATTCTCATCGTCACATTAAAAAGATTTTTAAAAAATTAAAGAGTTTTGAGACATGTCAAATCTTAAGATTTCAAATTTGGATTGATTTTTTTTCTCACCAAACACCTTTAAAATTTTTTATATCTTTTGGTGTTAAAGCATTCAGGACCCGAAAGCCCAATGCTGACTTTCAGGATTGGTTTGGGTGTGTGAGAGATTCTAAGGGTGGCACGGACATGGTAAGAGAAAATATAATGCAAGTGGGTGTATCTTATTATATTCTTCGGATGTGGGGTTATACAAGGGTGGCCCCGACCTGATGACAATTGTAGCACTTTAGTCTAACGCTACTATTTTCTCGCTCTCGAATGCGGTCCTCTTTCCTATTCCCTTCATTGCCTATTTATAGGGAGGATACATTGTAGAAAATAGGCGGAAAATGGATGACAGTGAATAGTGATCTGTACACTGCGCCATACTCGCCGCTGGCAAGCACGCGTGTCAGACGTCACCTCCATATTTAATACGTTGTATGGACATCATGATGGGTAGTTGGGTACGAAGTGATTGGCCAGGGCGACTCTTATTTCGTTTTTCGTCCTGCTTCTGGGTGAGCCTTCGGTATTTAAGTGGGCCCCAAGAGTAACTCGGTCCCGATGGATGGTCAGAATGTATGGCCTCTTGGTACGGGTGAGCCTTCGGTATTTAAGTGGGCCCCAAGAGGAACTCGGTCCCGATGGATGGTCAGAATGTATGGCCTCTTGGTACGCATAGGCTCTCAGGGTCTGGCGTTACCTAGACCGGCCCAATGTTTGTTCGGCCTTTATCCCAAGAATATATCTTACTCCCTCCATCTCAATTTATAGTGTCTGTTTTGGTTTACGATGTTTGACTGAAATTATTTTTAAATCATTTTATATGACAAATGGTATATAGTTAAAAAATAAAAATTACATATTAAAATACTACATCAAAAGATATACAAAACTAGTCGTGACAATAGCACTTTATTTTATCAAATTACTAACGAAAATAAAAAAAGAAAGTAAATAAATTTGGGTTGTTTGATCATGTGAATAATAAACAAGCACAATAAATTGGGCCGAAGGAAGTACTATATAATAAGTTCCGTATCTGAATTGCTCAAAGGACCCTTATCTCCTACCCACGATATTACTTTTTCTCTTATTCTTTTCACAACAAGGTAATTTTGAAAGCGAAATCTATTTCAAAATCTGCATTAATATGTATGAAGTCAAAATGTGAGAAGAATGGAACATATATGCTCAAATATGCCAGTCCCATAAATTTATTCAAGTGAAGAAAAACATGCTACCAAAATGAGTACCAAAGACATCCACTCAAACATGGGTTTCGTAGCAAGAAGATGAAATTCAAATATTTAAAAAAAAGATCACTGAAAAAGATGGAGACAACAGTTAAAGAAGTTTTAAGCAGTAAGGGCAGCGTTAAGGGCACTGTGTACATCCACCCCAATCTGTGCTTCTGCTTTCTCCGCGTCGGTTGACGCCGAGCTCAGCTTCTGAGTGTACTCCGCGAGTCCCTTTTGGACCTGTGCCGGGTCAATTTGGTCCAGCGGGACAGCTTCAATGGCAACAATGTCCGCGAAAGAGTTCACGTGGACGAAAGCAAACCCACCAGCCACAAAGTATTTGGTCACATCGTTACCTTCGTGAACCGACATGACACCTGGCTTCAGCTCGGCAACTGTTGGCACATGGCCAGGCAGAATGCCCATCTGCCCGGTGCTTGCAGGGATGATGACCATGTCAACCTGTAAAAGAAGATGAACAACAATATCATATACTCACATTATGAGAGTTCTTGGTCTTGATCATGTATTAATCTTCTGAACATTCATTTTTATCCATTTTTCATAACTCATATTTTTTTTAAATGCACAAGAAGATGTGGTGTTTTTCCAATTTTACCATCTTCTATTGTTCCTCATACATGAATATACATATTTTTCAGAAAGTTGGCATTGAATACTTAAAATAAACGTGAACACAATACTTACACAATTAGTGCCATTTTAGTCGTCCAAAGTATGCAGGGGAGGCAAGACTGCTAATCCTTTCAATTCAATTTTGTAATGTATGATATAAAATATAAGAAAATAGAACTTAAAAAATATACTAACTATTCTATGAAAAAAGTATTGATATGACTAAAAACTAAAACTATGTTTGCTTCAAGGAATTTGAAAGGGAAAAGAATATTATACCAAACCAGTATAGATTGCAGAATATCTATAATGAATTAGCCACACTTTTTGAGTAAAACACTTAGGAACATAAGTTGCATTGGCATCAGAACACAAGAGAGATGACTCAAATGAGAAACATGACTGGGAAACATTTATACGGAGTATATATTTAGAGAAATTCTAAGGTCCCAAATCCGACAATGCTTCAATTCATTGTATATTCTACTAAAAAGTGGATTGTACAAGCCAGCCATTACATTAAAGCGTTTGGCATCCTAGTGAGTCAGCACCAGAAAATTAGCCATGTTTTTAAAACATTTGCATGGATCACATGCAGCTTGCATTAAATATATACTCCTCCCGTCCCATATCTTTCTTCTCACTTTCCTTTTCGGGTCATCCCATTTGATTCTTCTCATTTCCTAAAATTGAATTAAAATACACATAAAGTTACTCTTTTACCCTTTTCTATTCTCCCTCTTGTCTCTACCCTATCCCCTTCTTGTACCCCCACCTTTTTTTTCTTCTCTTTTCTTCTTTTTCTTCTCCTTCCTCTGCGCTCTCTTCTTTTCTTCTTCAATTCCCCATCCCCACCAAATTTCTTCAGATATGTTCATCTTCCTCCAAACCAACCCCAATTTCTCTTCTCTCTTCTCTACCCACGCAGCGACGAAGGAGCAGAGGCTAAAAGGCACAGCAAAGGGCGGCGATGAAAGGGCAACGAAGAAGAACCTAGATTTGATTTTCAATTTCTTGGTTGTCACTTTCTCTTCATCTCTATACAGTTTTTTTCTATTTGTTGGCCTAATCCTAGATTTGATTTCTGAGGGTGATGAGATATTGACTTTGATTTCTCAATGCTGCACGTGAGTCACATATGAGTTGCAGGTGGATGGATATGATGTTGAAGAAGATCTAGAACTTTGGATTTGAATATTAGAAAGGCAGGGGAATGGGTGTGCAGGGATAGATTTGAGGTTGAAGAAGAAAATTTAGAAGCCTGGTTTTGATTTTTGAAGAAAAGGGCAGAGTGGGTTACGAACAGATGAAGAGTAATTGAAAGGGAAGATATGGAAAATGCATTACTTTTTCATTTAACATTAAAAACCGTGCCAAGTCAAAATGAAAAGTTTCTACTTGGACAAAGGGAGTAGCTAAGAGCTAAGAAGTCAAAAAAATACAATTGATCCATGAATATGATAATTAGTCGAGATGGCTGATTAGAAGTGACTATTCCCTTCATCCCATAAAAGGAGTTCTTTTTCTAAAGATTTTTTTGTCCAATAGAAAGAGACAAATTTGAAAAAAAGGATGATGATTTTCATCATATCAGATGTTTTTACATAAAAACTAGTGATTCAGCACAAGGTTGGCAGGGAGTTTGCATGCATCATATAGCTAAGAGCTAAGGAGTAATAAAACCAATTGAACCCTCACTATGATAACTAAGAGCTAAGGAGTAATTCATAGAGACAGCTGAATAGAAATTACTACTCAGTTAGAGAAACACAATTGAACCCTCACTATGATAACTAGTAGAGATGGCTGCATAGAAAATAATACTCCCTTCATAGCTCATCCCATAACAGGAGCCCTCTTTCATCTTATCAAATGTTTTTAAATAAAAAAAGTATGCAAAAAAAGTTTTAATATGGTAAATGAAGTTAAAGTAAAAAAAAGGAATATGATTATATTTGTTGATTTCTAAAGATGTACCTCACCAAAATCTAAAAGTTCTACATTAAATAAATGCGACTCTTTTTTTTTGGAGCAGAGAGAGTATAATACGAACATCTGACAAGCTTTTAACCTCGAGGGGCATAAAGGGCAGGTATGGTATAGGATATTTGGCAGATATAGATGGATATGTTTCTTAATGAAAAGTGTTTGGTAACATCCATTTCAGCCAAATAAGTGGAAAGATACTTATTCTACTTGCAAGGAGAAATAGAAGCGCAAGCTAAATATGGCCAAGCTGTAGAAACGAAATGCCTTAGAATACATTTCATCTGATAGTAGAATTTTCCAAGAAGTTCATTGAAGTATTAGCAAAAACAACCTTAGAATTTTCTAATAAGTACTGTCTTTCTCTAGCAACAAACTCCATATACAACTATTTGAATGTTAGTGTGAACTTATGTATTGTGGCATAAACAAAAAATATGAATTTGCATCTCCTTCCCGAAAATAGCAAAAATGTTTCTTTAATGTGGCATTGTGGCCTCATGGGATGTGTATATTATGATTATGCATACATACATACATACATATGCTAAAATGTCTATCTAAAAATGACATATGCATAAATACATACATACATACATATGCTAAAATGTCTATGTGGGTATGTAATTGACATCTAAAAACGCACTAAAAAGACATATGCCTATCTAACCTTTATCTATGTTGGATAGGTGGTGGGCGAAGCTCAACCATTTATGCTCCCTATGGACGCTATTCAATATCACGTGTACATATCAAATAGAAAACCACTGAAAACTAGTATGAGTACACTACGAAGTACTTGAATCTTCAAAGAAAAAACAGTTTTCAGTGTTTCTCGCCAGAAGCAACCAGTACTGATCAATAATTATACTCAATTGTAAGAGATTCAAGTCCATGTGAATCAAAGTCCATAAATATTAATCCATCCAATAATCATATAATCTAGATCAACACAAGGAATTGATAGAAATTTCTCAACACAAATCCAAAAAAGTATATATCAATAGTACCTCCTTCCAGGCGTGTTCAGATGAGTACGGGAGGGCGACATTGATCGTGAGCTTAGAGGGGATGGAGGATGGCGCGGCGGGTCGAGATTTCATATACGTCGATGGAGTGTTTGGTGGATCAACGTTAGGGATTACTTTCTTCCAGGCATCCACGAAACCAGGGTCCGCCTTTGCCTCCGTGGGCAGATCGGTGGAGAAGGGGCGGCGCCACCTCATGGTTGCAGTTCGAGCAAGGAATCGAGAAGTGTGTCTGAACATGGTGGCGGAGACCGGCGGCGATAAGCGTTTCGATTCGTCGGCGTTTTCCGGGGCGGAGTAAGATCCTCGGGCTGGAAGGATCTATGTGTGCCGTCTATGCTTTTCACTGCGAGGTATGTATCTAAAAGGCCGTCGATTTCATATTTCCATTGCAATCTAATGGGCTTTGTTTTGGGCTACTCATACATTACTCGAGTTGAATAGTAGTGGGCCTATTATTTGGGCGCTACCCAAAAGACTTGTAACAAATCGAGATTATACTATTGAGGGTCGCTTCAAACCCAGTTGGACGATCACTGAGATGAAATATATTGGACTTTGATTATAGATTAGTGGCAAAAAATCAAACATGCATCTAATACTTGTAGAAGTTATATGTTTAACATAATTATCTTCCAACACATTGTCAGGAATTGAAACTAGTGAGTAAATATTTGTCGGTTAACTTCTGTGGGACTTCCAAGTATCTGTGTCATCAACTTATATTTTTATTTATTACTTATTTTCATTGAAATCAGATCGGATTAGATCAAATCAGAACTTCTTGCAATCAGACCAGGTGAAGAGATTATGAATAATAAATTTATGAATAATAAATCAAGATTATATTGTAGTTCAACCTCTTACAATCAGATTGTGGTGTAGAGGTTCGGGGTGGACGATCCATCTTTTTTGTTTGCCTATGAACCAATGCTAATTTTTTTGTGTACATTTCAGACAGGAGACGACTTCTATGAATAATAAATCGAGATTATATCGTAATTTAACATTTTAACATCTAACATTGTGGTGTAGAGACTCGAGCTGGGCAAATCATTTTTTTTGTTTGCCTATGGCCCAATGCTAAATTTGCAAATGAAAACCTCTCGTCCAAATATACCCTTCTTCGCAAGCTCGCACTAACTACCTTTGCCATTTCTATAGAATCGCTAGTACGAAACTCGACACTAGAGCGTCCGCCGCCGTAGCGGGCAGCGGCCGTTTCCCCGGCGACGCTCCTCCGTAAACGGAGAGCTCAATTTTCTACGCGACATGACTGTGGCTCCTAACCTTCCAAGGCTGAAGAAGGTCTTCAACCCTAATCCCAATGATGGAAGAAGATCCCAGTATTTCCTCTCTACTCTCAGCCATGTGTTCTCCAAACCTTCCGCCGCCCGTCCGGCCGCCGCCGTTGAAGAAGAAGAAGGCGCCGACGGCGCAAATCCGAAATTAAGCTCGCGAAAGAAAGCTCTGGCAATGGCTCAGCTGATCAAGTTCAGGCCATGGACAAAGGAAACGGAGTCTTCTCTCGCCGCCATCTCCGGCCCCATTCTCTCCGAGATCACCATTCTTCACACCCTCCGTCTCATCAAAGCACATCGGAAATCCCTGCAATTCTTCGCCTGGGCCGAAAACAGCGGCTTTAAACTCACATCCCAGGGCTATTTCCTCATGCTGGAACTCCTCGGGAGAGAAAGGAACCTTAATTCCGCCAGGAACTTCCTCTTCTCCATCCCTGATAGATCCAAAGGCGCCGTGAAGCTTGAAGCCAGGTTCTTTAACAGTTTGATAAAGCACTATGCCCTAGCTGGCCTCTTTGAAAAATCTGTGACCCTTTTCACAACGATGAAGCTAATGGGGGTTTCCCCATCTGCAGTGACATTCAATACCCTGTTTTCAATTCTGATGAAAAGGGGCCGGACGGGCATGGTCTACCAACTGTATGATGAAATGCTCGAGACATTTGGAGTGAAGCCTGATTTGCATACTTTCAATATTTTGATCAAAGGGTGTTGTATGAATTCTATGGTGAGCCAAGGGTTTAGGTTCTTTAAGGAAATGGAGAAGCACGAGTGCGAGCCAAACGTGATCACCTACAACACCCTTGTTAATGGTCTTTGTAGGGATGGGAAGGTGAAAGTCGCGCGAAACGTGGTTGATGGAATGCTAAAAAGGGGCTCAAATCTGACCCCTAATGTTGTTACTTACACAACTTTGATCAAAGGATATTGCATGAACAGATCCATCGACGAGGCTTTGAGTGTTTTGAAAGAGATGGTTGATCTTGGCTTAGAACCAAATAACATAACTTATAACACCCTCATACATGGCCTTATCCAGGCTCAGGAGTTTGACAGAGTGAAGGAGTTATTCAAGATGGCTAGCGAGAAAGGAGGGTTCGTTCCCGACACGTGTACATTCAACACCGTGATCAACAAGCATTGCGAAGAAGGGAACATGAAAGCAGCGTTAGAAGCTTATGAGAAGATGTCTGTTCTAAAAGTTCATCCTGATTCAGCCACATTCAGTATCTTGATAAGATGCTTGTGTGAGAAGGAAGATTTTGAGGCAGCTGAGAAACTTTTCGATGATTTATTTGACTCAGAGGCCGTCTTATCTGAATCTGGAAGCAGACCTATCGTCGCGGCATTTAACCCCATGTTCAAATATTTGTGTAACAACAGGAAGACAAAGAAGGCCGACAAAGTCTTTAGACAGCTAATGAAGAGAGGAGTTCAAGATCCTTGTACTTTCAAGACTCTCATCATGGGACATTGCAACGAGGGAGCCTCTGGCGATGGACAGCAACTTTTGGTTTGGATGCTGAGGAGAAACTTCGTGCCAGATCATGAAACCTATGAATCTCTGATCCACTGCCTGTTGCGCGAAGCCAAACCACAACTCGCCTACAATACCCTTGAAAAGATGTTGAAAAGCTCCCATCTTCCTGAAACATCAATTTTCCACGACATTCTTACTGAGCTCGCCAAACAGGAGTGCGCTCTAGAGTGTGCCGATTTAGTGGTGTTAATGTTACACAAGAAAATCAGACCAAACATCACTCTCTCGACAGAAACCGTGAGGGTACTTCTCAAATCCGGTCTGCACGGACGGGCATTTGGGGTTCTTGAAGGTCTATATGAGAAAGGGTATTTGGTAAACATTGAAGAGCTGGTTGTCTTTCTTTCGAAGAGGAAGGAGTTATCTAAAGCGCGAGAACTGTTGCTTTATGGCCTAAAGAATGGCCAGAGTGTAGGAATGGATATCTGCAGCAATCTTTTGACTGCACTCTGCAAGGAAGATTTCAGAGTTGAAGAAGCCTTTGAGCTTTACTATGAGTTACTGGAGAGGGAAGATAAAGTGCCTTTCGAGTGCTTAGAGGTTTTAAAACTTAGACTAGAAGCGGAGGGGAAGTCTACCGAAGCCGAATTTGTTGCCAAGAGGATGCCAAAACAGGAAACCTAATTTTTTGCACACCCAGAAAGTTGAGCCACATTTGTCTACACCAATTCATGGGAAGTTAGTTCTACAACAACAAAAACAACCTAGTAAAATCCCACAAGTAGGGATGGTATGGGGAGGGCAGACCTTACCCCTACTGTGAAGCAGAGAAGCTATTTCCAAGAAACCTCGAGCTGAGAAACAGATGCCAAACAAAGAAGCTACCGAAGCATGCACGAAGTTCACTACTGATTCAAGGGAAGTTTTGAATGAAGAATACAGGTAGAAGATCATCCCATTCTGGCAATTTACCACTTTACCCCCTCAGTTCTCACATGATGAGTTGTTATGAATTGACAATCATACCCCTATTGAATTTTTAGGGCTAATACAGAGAGCAATTGCCCAGAAGTAAAGGTAGAAATGTCATGTTCTTTTATTTTCTCCCCCCCCCCCCCAAAAAAAAAAGTAACTCATGCACTATTTAAAAAGATTGTACTCCTCCATATAAAAGTTTGAATTAAATTCTATTATAACTAAAAACTACAAACTACTGACTATATAAGTCTTCGACAAAAGAAAGACAAAAATCTAAAAAAAAAACACATTCCTTAACTAATTTCTAGGTGCTTATATATATGTGTGTGTATATATATAGCTAGCCCATGATAATCCAACACACTACATACTATGCTACGACTGCTTGAGCTTCCTAGTAGATGATGGGGTTGAGGCACAACTGGATGATTTAACGGTGGAATGGAACGCCGTCACGTGGGCGTTAGCGCAAGAGGACTTCGGGGCTTCCCCGTCTTTGGACGTGAGATTGACGTCGTTTAATTTGATGCCGACGCATGGCTGTTTGGCGCTACAATCCAAACTCGCTCCCACATTGTTCGATGTTGTTCCTCGTATGTCTTGGTAGCTCACGTCACTTATCTTCACCCCCGACCCCTACACACAAAAAAAACAATAATTTTTTTTATAATTTCCAAAATCTAGGCAATAATAGCTCATATGTATATCAATATGGTTCTGTTGACACAAATTGATGGTTCTTATATATACCTTTAATCCCCTGCTAAACCAGACACCCAGTTTCGACTCGAACCCATCTCCCACCCCGTCAAGTTTAGTTGACTTCGAGTACGGGGTGGGTTCAGGTCGAGACCAGACGGGGTTTAACGGGAGGTTAGGAACAAGAACCATCAATTTTGCGAACCGATAAGTGCCTGAGAGTATGAATTAACCAACCTGTCTAGTGCAACTACCGGTAGGGCAGTAGTTTTGGTCAATAATGATGGGGTTTTGGACATCATGCATGACTCCATGCTCAAAAACAATGTTGCTAACAAAACCATGGCTTGGCTTTGACCAGGTTTTAATCCTGAAACCATTTGTTGTGTCCCTTAATGTAGCTCCTGAAACTGTCACATTTTTTACTCCTTGCTCTTCCATCTCCCAACCTAAACTCCCAATGCTGCCACACACACACACACACACAGAAAAACATTAACTAGTTACTAATGCGGAGTATATTATACGATATTCGTCGGTTCTACAAAACTGGAAAAGAATGTAGTTAAAGTTTGACCTTGTGAATAGTAAACATACAACTTAATTAACATTAGATGGAGGGAATAATAGTTATATATTGGGTGATGTTTTTATTACCTGATGCCATGGCCCGGGCCACAGGTGATGTTCTGGATCCACAGGTTGGAGCTGCCCGGGCCGATGGAGATGCAGTCGTCGCCGGTGCCAATGGTAGAGTCATATATGTTCACATTAGAGGACAATTGGACGTGAATGCCATCGGTGTTGGGGCTATTATCGGGAGCTGAGACGGTAACGTCTCGGAATTCAACATTGTCGGACCCGTAAACCAAAATGTGAAATTTTTGGCTGTTTTGTGACGTTAATCCTCTAATACCAATGTGACTGGAGTGATAAAAAGCCAATGTCTGTATATGTATGTATTCATCATATCACCCACGTACATATATATGCACAGAAAAAAAAGTTGTGAATTATATGGAGCTAGTAATAATAAATAGCAATAACTAACGTACTCTTGATTCATTTAGGCTCCGTTTGGTACACGGAATTCAAGCCATGAAATTGGAATTGGAAATTTCAATTCTAATTCTGGTGTTTGGTAGCACAAAATGTGTGGTTTTAGAATTAGTGCCAAAAATAAATTTGAATTGGAGAATTCAATTCTACTAAATTTCATTCCATAGGATTTCAATTTCAAATCAGTTCCAAATCCATCAATTCCGTATACCAAATGGAACCTTAGTGTTTAAATAATACTCCTAAAATCCATGAAATATTAAAATTAAACTAAGAAGTAAACGTAAATATTAGATCAGTGTATATATAACGTGTTCACATACTCCGTATCATTTACGGAGTAGTTTATAAGGATTTAATTATTGTATTGATTTTTTAAATGTCTATTTAGTGAAAATTTGATTTAGTTTTAAAATGTACGATGCATAAATCTTGCTCATTATTTTACCCAAATTATAAGACAAATTTAATTGAAAATAAATTTATTTTGGGACAGAAATATTAAATAAAAAAATAAACAAGCAGGTTTGATTTTTTTAAAAAGTATATCAATACTTCTTTGGAGTCAACCAGAACCAATTTTTGATCTCTAATTAAATAAAAGTTATATGGTATATAAATTAGATATGACTATCTTTTGAAAAATTACTTCGTACAAGATAAATTTAAGGAAAAAGGCCAAAATAGGAATAAAATATTGAAAATATACCAAACTATGAGTTCCATATTTTTAAAATGCATTTACAATACCAATATATACATTTAAAAAAATTATTGTGAAATGTCCATATACGGTATCATATTATCACGGTACGAACTTTTATTTTGAGACAAAAACATGAAATTTTTATTTTAATATTTTCTCTATATTTTACTCCTATTTAATGTGATATCTTATAAATTTAATAAAATTATTCTGTACCAATACTTAGTACTAATTTTATTTTATCTATGGTCAAAGATTCTCAATTTTAAAGGTAACAAGTTAAAACTACACGACATTTCGAGCCGGAGGTAGGGTTTGATAATTATCTGACTAAAACTGTACTTAATTAATTAATGACATTAAAAATTTATTAAATTAATAAAACCATAGCTAGGGTTTGCACAGTACCGTAGTTCCTTCCGGGCAATTTTTCTTGCGGGAGCTCTTGCATGCCCACAACTTCGCGCCTCTACCATCTAGGGTTCCGCCGACGACGGTGACGCCGGTGACGGTGAAGAACTGGATCCAACTCTGGTTACTCGCGATCGCGTGGTAGTCGGCGGGGGCCGCAAGAACGGCGCCGTCCATTCTGAACGTCACGGCGCCGTTTTTGCAGTGTCCCCCGTCGAAGACCACGCTCCCCAACACGTACCTCCCCGGCGGCACGTACACGTCGGCGCTGCCGCCGGGATGGGCGCATGCGGCCGCCCACGCGGCCAAAAACGCCTCCGACGAGTCCGTCTCGCCGCCCGCCGCCGCGCCGTAGGACTGCACGTTGAAGCTGCTGCTATGGCAACATGTTATGGTGCAAAGTAGCAAAAGAAGTGAGAAAATGTGAATTATTTTCATGGCTTTGGATTGGGAAGAGAGAAGAAATAGCTAAGCTAGGGTTTTATAATTTGATATATAATGGATCACGAAAGGGATTAGATTATATATATATAGGGAATAAAATGATAAGGGCAGTTATAGACTTTTAGAAGAATAAGGAAATGTTGACTAAATTACAGTTTTTTTTAATTATCAAAATAAAGATGTTTCATTATGAAACAAGAATTTCGCCATTTCGGATTTGTAATGATTCTTATTAGGGAGTTTTATTTTTTAACATGGTAATTAAATATATTTTTACATATATATGATGCTAATAATGATTAATGATTGATAGTTGATACACTATAGAATGATTTAATTAGGGAAACTATATATCAATCTTCCCATTAATTATCTTGAGAGATTAATACTTAGATGAAAAGTTTATGATTTCCAAGAAATGAATAAAGGTCTCATTTGAGAACATTGTTTGCCATGAGTACTATTTTTTGGATAATTTTTTTTAATACTCACTACCATGGGTGGCTCGGAGGGTGTGCAAAGTGGCCAACCGCACAGGGTCCCTTAAAACTTAGGGCACCATATTTTTAAATTTGTTAATAATTTTAAAGCAAAAGTATTCTAAAAATATACAATAGGGCACAAAATGTAAATTTTGGACCAGACCAATTTTATTTTTTCATTTTTCGGGGCCGGCCCTGCTCACTACAATGGATTAACTTCGAAATGTTAACAAATCATTACTAAGGTAGTAAACTGTGAAATTCTTTTGTCATCGTTAAATTCATATTTGTTATAAACACTTTGAGGAATGAAATTATTAAATGTGTAGAATGTTGTAAAATGAAAAGGATTCAACTATCAACTTATATGAGATGGTCCACATTTTACATGTAGACCTCAAGACCACGATAACGCAATTTATCTATATTACACATGCATATAATATAGTTTTTATTATCATTAACTTTCAAAATAAAGAAACATCTAATAAATAAGTATATATGACTAAAACATATTTATATGTCAACATAGGATTTTCAGAATTTTTATACAAAAATAAAACTTCAATTATTGCTAATTAATACAATACCAAAATGTGACATTTCGGAGTGACAACAATCTTATTTAAAAAGTAAAAATGTATAATATTTTATTCAAATATAAGTTTCATATTTAAGTTTTATTTCGGTAAGCATACTTAAGTTTTAAATTTTGTATATAAACTTACAAACATCAAGAAATATTTATAATAGGATTTTGTTGAAGATTGAAAATTATGAAACTAATTTAATTACTTCGGAGTATGTCGTTAGAAATAATATTTATATACTCCGTATTTTATTTCTACATAGTTTCAATGTTTGGCATTTTGTTGCATATGAATTTTGTTATTATTTACTCCGTATAATCTCTAGTTTGTAAAACACTACCTATGAACAAACTTTTCCTATGTATTTTTAACTATCTAGTTTTTTTATTTTTGTTTATTCAAATGCACTTCATTTTTTCAAAACATATACTCCCTACTATGGTTACAAGTTTCATTACATTTTTAAATGTAAAATATATACATACTTATCCGCCCAAATTGTACCGATCGAAACCGTTACATCGGTAACTGTTACAAAAGAGTTCATGTATAAATACGGAAGAGTTCCCATGACATTAGAAGCTCATGTCATGGGGTGACCCAAACCCGCTATTATGTTCAATTCGTAAAATTGACGTTTTCTATCCCTCTAATCCCCTGATAAACCCCCACCCCGATCCGAACACACTTCCTCACCCCTTCAACTGCATCCCAAAATTAACTTTAACTTTGGATACAATCAAAATTAACTGGGGGTGCAATTGAAGGGTGAGAAGGTGTGTCCGGGGCGGGGGTGGGGGGTTACCGAGGGGACTAGAGGGGTGAGAAGGAAACGTCAATTTTATGAATGAAGCTATCACTGTAGTGGGCCGGCTCATCCCATGACATAAGATTCCAATGTCATGTGAACCCTTCCTGTATAAATATCAATATCAATGGTCGAAATGCTATATCAGAATTGTAAAAAGTCAAATAAAAAATTATTTTCGGACAGAGAGTACTAAATAAGTGAATCTTTTCTACTAGGGATAGTTTGGTATTATGTATTGGTAAAATCAATATTTCTTTGTATGGTAAGTGGGTTCTTAAGTTCGCATTCACTTAATGAACTTTAGTATAAACATCATAAAAGAATTGAGCATATTGCAAAAAAATACTTGTCAGTCAATGAAAAGTGTAAAAAGATTCTCATTTCACATGTGAATTTTAGAATCACGGAAGAGCAACTCGTGCATCATTTCAATATTTTAGTTCTTACCCAAGCCTAATATTTGACACATCTTTTATTGAAAAGGAGTTCTCTAAAAAAATGATTGGCCAAACAACTATAACAAAGTATTTGGTGAGCAACTTTTTAAACAATCTTTTGGTACTGAAAAGTTGAACTTCTAAAGATAATGGTCTGGTAAGTGAAACAGTCAAACAACTACTAAAAGTGTTTGGTGAGTAGCAATTTAGAAGTTATATGTTTTAACTATTGAATTGAACTTCTGAAGATAATGACATGGTAAGTGAAACAGTCAAACAGCTACAGAGTACGAGAAGTGTTCGCTGAGTAGCAATTTAGAATAACATGTTTTAGCTATTAAAACCTCAACTAATTGATACAAATTTCCCATTTTCCTAACGAATTTTTTTCTTAAACTATACAAACACAACAATGTGTTTTGTCTTTTTTGGGTGTCCAGACACAAAAATAGTTATGGATCTCTTTAACATGGGGGAGAGGGAAAGATAGGCAATAATCAATAGTAATCTTGGCTAGCAAGATATATATATATTTGGGACTTAAATGGGGTTCAACTTTTGAATTTTATATCATTGGCTTGCACTTACTAATTACGGAGTATATGATATGTTTAAAACTTTAATACATGTTTATAAATTTCACAACCCTAAAAAAATCATAATTCTAGGCTTTTGCCTAGTTCGTCTATTTCTAGAGACTAGTCTGGGCAAACAAATATCATCCTAATTTTGTGAGTGGTAACTCAGTGATTTATTTATTCCCTCTAAAAATGCTTTTGTTTGGGTTTAACAAAAATAATAATAATAAAAATAATATAGTTAAAAATGATGCAAAAATAATTTTTTTAGAAATGGAAACATGAATTTTTTTCTGTATTTACTACTCCTTACGAGTTGTTGCATAATATGAGCAAATCAATTACGGAGTACTCATTTCTCTTAAAAAATCACTTACATATGTAAAGTGGGGCTGATGGAATACTATGTACTATACAATACGGCATCAGACAAAAATAATAGTACAGACTAACAAAAAGTGGAAAAGAGAAAATTAGTGGCGCGGAGAGAATGCTACGTATTGTAAAACTCGTAATTTAAGAAATTTCTACTAAAATGTAACTCGTACTAATTAACTAATGCAATTAGTAAGTAATGGATACAAAAGTAACCATCTCCACAAGAAGTGATTAAATATGTAACCAAATAAAAAAAATACAAAAACATAGTTTATGAGATCTTTACTAGGTTGTTGCTAATATAAAAACAATAATAGAAAGAAAAAACAAGAAAAATGTCAAATTGTGTGTTGGGACTTGGGAATGGGAGAAAGACAGACAAACCAGATGTGAAAGACGAAAACAGGCTTTTAGCTAGACCAGACGTGGACCAGCCCGAGCTCGTTCCCGGTATAGATCTCATTCCTTTCTTCGTCGTAAGAGAGGGCAGTGATGTCAAGAAGAGCTTCGGATACACTGCTCATAATTTGCGATGTTTGGGCACGTTTGGACTTGCAACTTCTTGGACCACAACCAGCACCGCAATGGCAATCGCTCTGGGGACTGCCATTGGTTGCTTTTACTTTAGCAAGGCATCTTCCTGTCAAAATGTTGCTGATGCTGATAGAAGCAGCTGCTCAACAAGGGAGAAAAATGAAACTATGTTAGAAATTTAATCTTAGCAGCAAGTAGTAATCAAGTAAGAGATAAGCATAAACCAGAAAAGAAAAAAAACATAATTTGTTGTCATATGCTTGGTGATAACTGTCATATATATTTGGCAAATTACATAAAAAGTTAGCTCGGCTTTATGAAACTGATACTCTTTTATTTATTTTTTATCTTTTTTGTGAATGATTTGAAACATGACTCTTTTTAAGGACAAAAGGGGTAAATGATTATATTTAAGAGAAGAGTGATATATCTGTATGTAGAACATTCTAATTAAAGAAAAAAAAGTTGAAACGAAGTCAAGAAACGAATTACTAAAATTTCGAAAATTGAGGGACTCAAATATGAGTTTAGAAGAGTCCATGGCACATCCAACTTCCCTCTAATTATCACAGCCAAACACACACCAGTCCCAAACTTTCTCCCACTCTCCTCTAAAGCCAATCTAACCAAACAAGGGTTTAAATTGTGTGCAAATAATCAGCCAGTAATTCAAGATCTTACATGGTGTGTCAGATAGAGGGTCATCAGAACCAGCTTTGCAGTAGGATATGATTAGGTCCTGGAATCTATTAATGTAGATGTTGTTAGTATTACAGTCAGGGTGCCATAAAATGAGATCCTTGAATGATGTAACAAGCTCCCCACGGAAGTTCCAAACACCGACTTCCCTATTTCTGAATGTCAAGAACAGCTGGTTCTCGTACAGAAATATGAAAGCAGATGGTGTAATGAACTGAGTACTACTGACCTCAGTCAGCTCAGAATTGCGAACCTGAATCAAATAAGAGAATGAGTTAATGCAATGATTTAGTACCTCAATTATAGACTGTTACTTAAGTTCTCGCCTTTCTATTGGACTCAGTGTGGCCCTCAATTACAAACATGTCATTTGAAGCAAATCTAGTTTTCATACGTGTTTGGTTCCAAATATGAAGGTTATTCTTGTTTGTTCATGAAAGGTTTGATCCAATTTTGGATTCAACTATATGATTTGATCCCAAATCTCAATTTAGTGCTCAAACACATTTGGTTCCCAATAAGAAGGGTATTTGGTCAATCCACTAAAT